CTCTCTCTCTCTCTCTCACACACACACACACACACACACACACACACACACACACACACACACACACACACACACACACACACGCACACACACATTCTACCACTGTGTTCTTTTTCTGGTCCTTCTGGAGCTGCTGTCTCCTTTTGTGTGTGTCCTTTTGGTGCTCACTTCTCTTTCTGGCAATGAACAACCTGGCCAGATCTACCCACACTACATAGCACACGGTGATATCAAACCGTCAGTGGAAAACACAGATGGGGCTTGATGGAGTCGAAAAGCGCGACTGAAAAAAAGAGTGCAGTACCGCCAGATCTATAGACCGTATCCTGTTTGTGTGGACATTTTGTGGCCCTCAACAAAGAGAAAAGATGATCTCACAGTTAACACAAACAGCACCTTGTCGGTTGGCATTTAACGCTTCGGATACGAAAGAACCGCTCAAGTATACCGAATGGACTCCTGTGTTGCCCTCCCCCCCCCAAAAAAACCTATTTTTCCCCGAATACAGGAAGTATTATAGCAGCATTGTCCAATATAAACAGCTTTCAATGTTTCTACAGTACGCCATGTGCCGTCGGAATGCACCTGAAACAAGGTGAAGGAATTAACTCTGTAAGTTCATATAGCTTACTGCTTTATAATTATCTCGACATAGCCATTACTTGCGCAGCATGTCAGCACCCCAACATCATACCTGTTCCCGGCCTGATGGCATCTTACATAAGGCATCCGCAAACATACCTTTGCTTACAGGACAATGCTCCCGAAATAAACATTTTGATGACTAGTCAACACATGCACCTTGGTTACTTTTTAAAATTGCAATGGGACCACTAGTGAAGCACTGATTGCGGGGAAGGAAGACCGTCCTACAGGGTGAGGAGATCAAGGGAGAGGAGGAGTGGGTGGCACATACAAAAGGAGGAGACCGGGAATGGGCAGTTTACATTGAAGTGGAGGGGTACAGGAGAAGATTCAACCTATGCCATGATTTCCTGCGTACGGATCCGGGCCGCCTGGCCGGCCGGCGCCTGCCCGGGGGAGGTCCCGGGCAGCCTGGCCGGGCGGGCGGCCCGGTTGGGGGCCGGGCCCCCCCAGCACACCTTGTTGGCGGGGGGGTTCCGAACCCGAATCGGCGAGATTTCGCCTCCCCAGGGCCTACCAGGTCCGACCACACCGAGAAAACGGCGCGTCGGGCCCGCGAGGCCTGTTTTTTTTTTTTTTGAATTTGGGACGGCCCTCTGGCCGTCGATCATCCATGATCGACGGCCAGAGGGCCGTTCGTTTTTGGAGGGAAAACGGAGGCCCCATTTGAACAAGCGACTGGCTGGGGCGGCCTGCATTGGCTGTCCAAACGGGGCCCGGATACCTGCTCCAGCCGCCTGCGTTCGTCGTCGAGTCGCCCGTCGTCGAAGTAGCTGTGCCCCTCGTCACCATCGCCTGGGAGTTTCACTTGCCCGTCGTCGTCGAGTCGCCCGTCGCCCGTCGCCAGCATCGTCGATCGGTGCTCCTGCCTGCAGACAACCCCTGCCGCCCGTCGACGTGGAGTGCCGGTCTGTTCCTCGTCTTCTTCTTTTTCTTCTTCTTCTTCTTCTTCCCTCCTCCTCCTCCGCTCATTCTTCTGCTTCTTCTTCTCTCCTCCTCCTCCCCCTCTCTTCTTCTTCTTCTTCTTCTTCTTCTTCTTCTTCTTCTTCTTTCTCTTATACCTCTTCTGCCTTTCTTCTTCCATGACTTCTTCACTCCTCCTCCTGCTCCCCCTCTCATCTTATTCTTCTTCTTCGTCGTCCTCCCCCTCATCTTCTTCTTCTTATTCTTCTCTCCTCCTCCTCTTCCGACTATCTTCTTTTTCTTTTTTTTTTTAACTTTCGTTAGCGATAGGTCGCGAGATAAACGACAGGTAAGGAAAAGAAGAAAAAAAAAAACTGCTCCGCTCGTCATCTTCTTCTTCTTCTTCTTCTTCTTCTTTTTCTTCTTCTTGTAGGACCGCCGCCACAGCCCGCCGCCATACCCCGCCACCATACCATACCGCCCTGCCGCCGCCGCCWTCTTCTTCTTCTTCTTCTTGTAGGACCGCCGCCACAGCCCGCCACCACACCATAACATCCTGCCGCCGCCGCCATCTTGTCCATCATTTGGTAGGCAGCGTGAAACGTCGCAGGTTAAAATAAAAGAAAAAAAAAAAAAAAAAAACTTCCTCCTTCCGCGTACTCTCCTCATCTTCTTCGTCTGTTACTTTTATTGCAGATTCAGGGTCCTCTCGCCGAGCACAGGAGGACCCCGCCTTCAAAAATAAAATAAAAAAATTATGGGCTGTTTTTTTGCCCGCCCGGTTTGCCCGGGCGGCCCACCCGGCCCAGGCCCGGCCGGGCGGCATCCATACTCAGATGATTTCCACAAAAAAATCTGGTTTTCTGCCTAGAGTCTTCATGGAAAAGCACCATCTACAAATTTCACGGCCTTTCCAATAAGATCAAGTGAAGTACCTGTTCTGATCATTATCTCTTCCATGGTCCATAGGGCCATTACCCCCCCCCCCAAAAAAACAAGCACCCCTTAACTGAACAATTAGCCTTTTCACAGGAAATACTAGTGGAGTAAGAGTTCATCAAAACAAGTGTAAAAACAAATGGAGGCCACTGGAAATAACAGAAACAAAGAAGAGTGGGCGGATGAGTGCGAACTGCACGCCATAGCCTGGAACAAAGCAAAGAAAAAGACGAGCAAAGATGAGTGTCGTCCCCTCTCACCTGTTCATGAAACTCCTTCTTTCTTTTACTTGTTACTGGTTTTCCTGCCTTGTCGTCAAGCCCCTCCTCTGGAAGAACTGTAAGCAGCTCAAGTGCAGGTGGACCGCCATCTATACCCTCAGGATTATCTGCACTGACTGTAATTCCACTGCTGTTCAAAAGGTGCTCCACTGGGTTCCCCCATTCACTGCACTGAAGTGCAAGCCCAGCAAGGGCAAGACAAATCTGCTTCAGAAGCTGCACAATTACCACATTCCAATTCATCAAACATTGAAAACTATGTTCACAACAAAACACCAAATATAAATGCTGGAAGCCAGTCCGACTGTAGGGTGTCAACAACTCTTTAGTCCATCCGGGGACTGACATCTCGCTAAAGGTGGAGGGTATCCACACCTCTTCAGTCCATCCTGCTGAGACGAGAGCACAAAACAAATTGCACCTGGCGTGAAGCCAAGAACTCCTGTTGATTTCCTGGTACCAAATCTGCAACAGCAGAAGTATACTCCGGGTAAGTCTAGAGTTCACCAAACAGTTTGAGGACGAACTGCAGCAGGTCATCAGGTACTTCAACAGGGCCAGCAATTTGTAGCTGCAGCGGCAACTGACACTAAGTGGTACGGACTGAGGGAGGTATTGCATATGGGTGGAAAGGAATCAGGTACCTCATTGATGTTCACCGCATTTGAAGACATACCAAGGTTCGTAGGCAGGAGTATGCATCCCGGGTGTTGCATATCAAGGGACACCAGATGGACCCAGTACGATCCATGCTCAAGTCTCAGTAAGATCTATGCTCAAGTCTGCACATTATTGTGATCCAGACAATAACGAGTGGATAGATCAAGCCATGTTAATGCAGGTAGCACCCAGAGATCTGAGCATTTGTGTACATTGGTAATATCATACAAATATGGTTTCACATTGTGCTTTGTCAGGTCTAGAAGTTCGTCTGTAAAGTTCGTCTGTAAAGTTCGTCTGTAAAGCAACTCTGATACTTTGCCTGGTATGTAACCATATGCTCTTAGACTGCTGTATATATCTGTCACACAGTTTCATACTTAGTGTTGTCGGGTTTAGAAGTTTTTGTTTTTCCTATAAAGCAAGGAACTCCGGCAACAGTTCTGGTGAGCCCAGACTCTCCTCTCAGTGAAAACAAAAGCAGCTGCATGCTCTTTAAGGTCCTAACTGAGGCACCTGGCAAGGCTTTCAGCCCCCGTCTGGCCTATAAGATTCTGAGGCTTCCCGGCAGACGATTTGATAAGACAAAACAATCCCTTTTCCACCCAGATGAGAACATCCAAAATTGAAGCAGCCATACCTTGCAATCTTTTATCGAAGTTCAATTTGATAGTTTAAAACTTTTAACTGATTGTAATAATTTGATTATTGTAACGTTTCGACGAAACGGCTGTTTCACCATTGCATTCTGAATGGTACAAGGCCGACCACGTCCGTGTACTTTATAACTCGTAGGAGACATACACACCAGTAGGAGACATACACACCTGTTTGCTGCTCAGCACACCTGTACCTTGTAACTTGTCCACCCCTATTTTCTCTGTTCTCTTAGTGATGCCGGCTCACACGCATTGAGTTGTTGCGAAGGAGGGGAGGGGAGGGGGGGACGCGGAGGAGGAAGCCGAGGGGGGAAGAGGGAGAGTGGAGGGAGGTGAAGAGCAGAGGAAAGAGGTGCCTCATTGGATCCTCAATACTCACCAGCAGAGGAGGCTGCTAGAAACTGGCACAAGTGGCCAGTCAAGGGTTGGGTTGCGGAGAAATTTGAGCTGAGCCTATGGCAAGTAGCCACCACTGCAGACCTGACAGGAACGGTTTGGGTGTGGACTGTGGAAGTACCACATCCAAAACTCGCAATTGCATTCGCTGCATTGAATGACACAGTGCTGACAGATGTCATAGGCAACGTGGCTACAACATGGTAGGAACAAAGAGGTATGGTGACCAAATTTTATAGCTACGAGCTATAATATTAGTAAGTCCGTTTCTGTAATTTTTGCCAAGTTTTGGGCCTCTTGCCCGTAGTCACAGGCCTGATCCCCTCGGGGACTTCTCTGCAAATAGCCAAAATTCCCAGGCTACTTGGGTAGGACTGTTTGCTCGTAGGTCTGAGATCGTAGGGTCTGATAGGGCGTGAGTTTAGAAATAGGCTGAGGCAAAAGAGAGTCGAGTTCTTTTTCCATTTTGTTGGCTTGGAGACCGAGGTGAAACGGCACTGCAAATTTGGTTGATGCAGCACCTTCTTCATCGCCGCTTGCTGGCCATAGCTGCGGCCAGTCAGACATGTGGAGGACAGCACTGGACACTGCCTCTCGGGTGCTGATAGCGCTTTGACCTTACCTGTGCTGTTTGGGTTTTGACGCTGCTAATGTATCTTCTTCAAGGCAGCCGATACTTCTCTTCTTGTTCGAATTGGAGCCTTCGGGTTCATGCTTGTCCAGTAGCGGACACTCCCTGCTGCATCAACCGGTAGGGACCCAGGCAGGCCGCTTCAGGCCAGGACCAGAGGCACACCAGCGAGGCCCAGCGCTACATATAGCTGGGCCAGGGCAGACACACAGTTCGAGTAGCTCACTTCTTGGGCGACACACTGCTGGAGCTGCGCAACGAAGCGCTGCGCTAGAGGTAGTGGAGTAGGTAGAGGTTGAGGCGGTGGCCATACCTGCAGCGGTGGAGTACTTACCTGGGTGCCATAGCTGGACTTTTTGCCAGTGACCTGCAGCACAGAGAGACACGCCGGCAGTGTTAGCACATGGCAGCAGTACCTGCAGGAGGATGACATCTTCTTCTTCTTCCTCCTCTTCTTCTTCTTCTTCTTCTTCTTCTTCTCCTTCTTTCAGAGAGAGAGAGAGAGAGAGAGAGAGAGAGAGAGAGAGAGAGAGAGAGAGAGAGAGAGAGAGAGAGAGAGAGAGAGAGAGAGAGTGAGTTTACAGGCAGAGGTTACATCGGGCTATGAGGCCCAGGATCTGATTCGACATTTTTTTGTCGCAGACATTGATTGGACATTCGGCAGCGAGACTTTTTGGACATCGCTATCGGGATCTTCGTCTTCTCCCTCACCTCCATCTTCGTCTCGCCTCTCCCTCACCTCCATCTTCGTCTCGCCTCTCCCTCACCTCCATCTTCGTCTCGCCTCTCCCTAAATCTCCTCATCCGTGGTCTCTCCCCATGTGCGTGCTCAAGGAGGGACCTTTCATGTGTGTATACGGTCCCTCCCCTCTCTCACATGTGTGGTGTATGATGGGATGTCGCATCAGCACTGACAGGTAAGGTCATGTTTTTGAGTCTTCTGCTGCGCTACACGGTGTTATTTTCATATGTATCTGGATGTACATTGCTTGTTGATGCTTTGCTGACACGGCATTGCCCATTCGAGTCCTTTTCATCACTTTGCGGATTCTTGGCTCCACATACATCGCTCGATTGAGCATGTATCACTGATAAGCGCTGACTCAGCGCAAGGGAATTCTGGCTGTCCCTGAGTGGGTGTTTGAGTTTGGGTTGGGGGCGCTGGTGGTCTGCTGACACATGGAGATGGGCGCTGTTGGTGGGTGCCATAGCTAGGGCGGCAGATGGCGATGATGGGAGGAAGAAGTCTCCTTTTTACTTCGTTGAAACAAAGTTCGCGATTTGTCTGAAGTTGTTGGAACGTGGTTGTTGATTCCTGGAATTTTGTAATTCTGATTGATTGGAGGAGGAAGGGGAAATCCGAATACTGGATTTTCAATTCAATTCTATTTTTGTGTGCTGAGCCTCCGCTGTGTATTTCTCTCCGGTTTGGTGTGGAATTGCCTCCTCCAAGTCTGCTTCATAATTGCATGTGTATGGGAACGTGCCTTGTCATGCATAGTTCCCTTTTGTCCAGAGCAGATTTCAAGTCTGAGCGTACAGGATCCGCCCTACGACGCGTGCTCAGAATTGGGGCAAATAAGGAGTTTGCTGTGTTCAGACTGGAGAGGCTGAGAACTCAGGGGTCCCTCGTATATCCCTGGAGGGAGTCTAGGGAAGCAGGAAGTACTCAGCGGTCACTCGTATATCCCTGAATGGGGCGAATAAGGAGATGGGGGGAAAAGGGGTACTGTTGGTTCTTGGCATGGGTAGAAAAGGAGAGTGATGAGAAGCACAAAGTTCTATGGGGAGGGTGCAAACTCTGCAGGATGGTAGACTTGAGGGGAGGGAACTCCGAGGTGGTTTGAGTTGTCTCAGCTTTTCCTCTTAGAGCATTCATAAGGGTGGTGGATAGGGGACGTGCTGGCAAAGTCAGTTGTGGGCCAGATTATGTAACAATGTGCTCGTATGTAATTTCCGTTGTGCACAGAGGGTTGTACAGATGGTGGGTAGGCTCTCTGGCCTGGTCAATGTGGTTACACATCGAGGGGGTGGATGGGGGTTGGTGGGTGCGCTCAATTCTATAGGTAGCAGCACGGGAGGGAGAGGGCTTTGCATAGGCCGGAAGTTGGAGGATGGTACGCAGGCAGTCCTCTGGGTTTCAGAGTGCCATGGTGGGCCAGTGCTGATGTGGGTGGGGTATACTTTTTCTGGGGTTGTGAAAGCTGAAGCCACGACGGCCTTTTTCTGGCTGGTTTGGTTGCATTTATTGCCACTATTCTGGGCAGTGGTGCCAGTGTGAAAAGTGGTTTGAGGAAAAAACTCAAATGAAAAGTTATAAAACACGAAATAGATTCTTGTAGATTTCACTTTTTCTTCTGTTTTTCTTTACGCAAGCAACGCAGGCCTTTAAAGTTTATACTTATTTTCAGAGTACTTCATGATTTGTGAAAAGCACTGAAAACCAGGGCTGGTCCCCGGATGGACCGGGGACCCCTACCCCATCCGTGGCCGACCGGTGGCCCGGGCCGGTTGCCTCCCGGTCGCCCCCAGCGCATTTTCGCTGGGGCCTGAAATTTCTTTTTGGTGGCGCGTATGTATTACGGAGCCTCGTGGGGGCGGGCCCTGCCCTGCAATTTCGTTACTGGGTCCTGTAGGCCCGGATTTTTGAAGTCTAAAAAGTGCCCGATCTTGGCCTCCGATCGTCGCAGATCAGCGGCAAAGATCGGCCACTGTTTTGAATCAGTTCGTGCGGGAAACAGAATCGCGCAGCGGGGGAAAACGCATCATGCATTCAACCCTGCTCACCTCCACTCTGTGCACCCACTCCCTCGTCGCCTCCGACAGCCAGCCGCGCCATCGTCGGTAGGTCTCCGCGGGGTGCAGTGGCG